AGTAGGGAGCCATGACTTCTGTGGCTCTCCCTGTGTTGGGGGATTTAGTCCTAGCACTTGAAAGGCAACAGCCATGTTTTGGACATTAGTATAGATTTACTTTTTCTTGAGGAATTTTCTTAAAATACTGCCTTTTAAAGGTGATTGTTTAAAATAAGTGAATGTCATGTAAGTGATGAACACTATCTTTCTTTGACAGGACTTACCCATAAGTTCTAAGGTTACATAGTTCTGACTTGTTCAGAGTGTGCTGATAACTGGCTGTATTGAATGTATATACCAGTCTACTTAATTTTAGGCTTTATTTACACTGAGCTTAGTTTACTTTATTGGTTTAGTCATGTATAGAATGCTGGTTAAGTTTTTGTTTTTGTTTCTTAATCAACTTGACATACACTATTGCTAAAACAGGAAGTGGAGGGACTTTTTCTTGTTTAGTGATTGATGTGCAAGGGTCCAGCCCACTGTAGGCTGTGCTATCCCTGTGCAGATAGATAGTTCTGGGTTGTGTAAGAAAGCAAGCTGAGCCAGCCTTAAAAGCCAGAGAGTAAGCAGCATTCTTCCATGGCCTCTGCTTCAGTTTTTCTTCTCCAGGTTCCTGCTTGAGTTTCTGCTCTGACTTCCTTCAATGATGGGTTGTGTTGGGGAAATGGAAACCAAACAAACCCACTCTCCCCAAATTGGTTACGGTCAGTGTTTTATCACAGCATCAAAGAGAAAAATAGGAGATCAAGGAATGGTTTGCATGGCAATTTTACCATTGAAAAGGAGAAAAAGAATGGCGAGGTGATTTTTCTTTCCTGCTGAGAGGCAGTGTTTTGAAGTAGTTGAACTGTACATTCTGGAGCCAGACTGTGCGTTCAAATCGTGGCTTCGTAGTGGTGATGTCACCTGCGACAAGGGACTTAGCCTGTCTCTGCTGCCTCTTGTGTAAGTGAGTGGACTGTAAGATTAAGAGAAGAATTGAGTAACGTGCTGTGAACATTGCACATGTGGGGGCCTTTTACTTGCCCATGTAAATAGCACAGTTAAAATGATGGTGAGTTGTAAAAAGGGAAGGATCCTTGAGAGGTGAACAGGAGAATTAGTGTCAGTGGTTTGGAGGGAGTAGACTTGATGCTTTTACACCCCCAGAGTTCAGAGTTCTGTTCTTACAATTTTGTTTATAATTAGAAATGAATTTTTGGGATAGGGTATAGGGCATAGAAAAGAACAACTTAAAAAAAAGTTATTGTCCTGTCACAGTTGTTGATACGGGACTCCCATGGGAACCTCTGAAAGGAGCAGGCCAGCTGTGGAACTGCTTTCTGTTTGTGTTGTTGCTTTGTTTTAAATCTCTGAAATCCGCAGGAGTAATGCTCTTATCTGGAAATTGCTGTCTGTGGCTTGCTGTTGAGTTTGCCTTCCCTTTTAACCCGTGTCGTAAGTGCTCTTTGGAGGGGGAGAATGCCATTCTGTTTCTCCCTCACTGGCTTGTAGCTGAGTGTGGGCAACTGGGTTTTTCTCTGTTTGGATCTGTTCTGTGGGTTCTTCATGAGCCTGCTAGCCCCTTAACATTCCCCATCTTTCTGAGTTTTCATAGGGAATGCGTATTGTCCAAGATTTTATTGAGTTTGCCAATAACAGCTTTTGTTTCAAAACTTTTTTCTTATTGCTTATTTCTAAATATACTCAATTTCAGAACAGATAAGTAAACTAACAAGGGAAGGTAATTTTATTTTACTTATATTCTTTTATCTTAGTTTCTATACAGTATATTATGATCATGTTTTACCTCCTTCAGCCCTGCAATCGAGCACACGGAACATCACAGTAATAAACCAAAGACCAATAAGACAAAAAAATCAGTACAAACAAAATGAATCAAAAAGTACACAATGCCCATGAAGTTAATTTGTGTTGGCCAGCTACTCCTGGGTATGTGGCCTGCCCGGAAGTAGATTTGACATGCTCAGTGAAACTCCATTGAAGAAAACTGATTTTGTTTTCTTTGCTAGCAGCCATCAGTTACAGATAGCTTCTTGGTCAGGAATGGGACCCTGTGTTTCCTCTTTCAGTTCTGTGGTCCGATCTAACATGCACCTGTGCAGGCATTGTGCATGCTGCTACTGTCTCTGTGAGATCCTGCGTGCATCAGTCCTGTTGTGCTTGGAGGATACTGTCTCCCTGGAGTCATCCAATCCCTCTGGCCCTCACAGTCTTTCTGCCTCCTCTTCTGCACAGATCCCTGAGCCTTGAGTGGAGGAGCTTTTTTTTTTTTTTTGGTTTTTCGAGACAGGGTTTCTCTGTATTGTTTTGGAGGCTATTGGTCCAGCCCAACCTCGAACTCACAGAGATCCACCTGCCTCTGCCTCCCGAGTGCTGGGATTAAAGGCGTGCGCCACCACTGCCTGGCTGAGTGGAGGAGCTTTGATGAAGACATCCAGTTTAAGACTGAGTCTTCCAAAGTCTCGTACTCTCTGGACACTGTCCAGCTGTGGGTGTCTGTATTATTTACTGTCTCCTGAGGAATGGATGGTAGTTTTTGAAGGGCTGGTTGCTCAGAATGCACAAACCTCTGTATTTGATCTCCATCAGCACAGAAATCAATCATCAATCAAGGGGTTAATTTTTTGAAAGGGTATCTAATAATAACCTCTCTTGTGAAGTACAATTAAAATTTCCTTGTAAAATTAAAATATTTGTGGTTTATTTATCAGATCTCTCTGTAGTGTTTGTAAACTAAGGCTTGTCATGTTATGCCTTTCATTTTGTCGTAGACTACACAATAAATAGCTTTGTTTTCTGGGTAGTCGAGGTTGAGATGCTAGACCTGTTGTTTAAGGACTACACAATAAATAGCTTTGTTTTCTGGGTAGTCGAGGTTGAGATGCTAGACCTGTTGTTTAAGGCCTACACAATAAATAGCTTTGTTTTCTGGGTAGTCGAGGTTGAGATGCTAGACCTGTTGTTTAAGGACTACACAATAAATAACTTTGTTTTCTGGGTAGTCGAGGTTGAGATGCTAGACCTGTTGTTTAAGGCCTCGCAGCTATTTTGATTTCAATTCGAGGTCTGATCCAGGGCCTTCTCCTGATACTTGGGAACTGTTCCAAAGAAGCACAAGTCTTTGTGATATCTCCCTATGTGGGATGGAGCTGGTATTGTCCGTGTCTACCAAATTGGGAACAAAGTAAACCCTGCCCTCATTATTGCCCAGAGCAAATGGCAGGCCTGGCGGGCATCGGTGTTCCATGCGGCTGTTTGAGCAACACATACCACCTAGTTTTTCAAGTGTGGTTTCCTGTAAAGAGGTGGTTGGGGCCAACTTGTGATTTTCAGAGTTATGGCCTGTTTTTTCAAGACCGAGAATGATGAAGAACTTTTTTTTTTCTATTTTCATATATGTTGTGACATTTTACATTTTTAGTAGCATGTAAAATAATCTGCTTCATTATGGCATTTTCTTACATATACCATTATACCATGTGATATTGTTTGGTCAATAGCACTTGTTATTTCTTTTTTGTCAGTAAGAACTTGTTCCACTTTTTAAAATGAGAGAGAATCATATAAACCCCTTTTGACACGCTCCTGGAGAGACCCTGAGGCAGTGAGGAGACTGAGCTGTGGAGGTGGCTGAGAAGAATAGCTGAGGGTAAGGGTTGGAGACAATCATTGACAATGACTTTGCAGATTTGTGTCCACTCTTTCAAAGGGCTTAGTGAAGGAAGTGTTAGCAAAGGACTTGTGTGAGTTGAAACAGTTGGGAACCTTTTGGTTTGGGTTTTTTTATGTGTTTTTGTTTTTGGAGGGAGAACACCTACTCAGGGAGATATTTTTAAAACCTTTGAAGATGTAACACCGTTCCTTTTTTTGAAAAACATTAAGTTTATAATCCCCAGATTAATGTATTGTCCTAAGGGGATTCATGTGCTGTGTGGTGTCAAAGCATATTTCCAGTGGTATTGTCTTCCCAGTTAGGGCTGTGGACATCTGGGACAGGATAACAGCTTTCACAGTGTGACTCACAGAATTTCTTCTGTGCACACAAGTGAACCTTCTGCTCTGTGGCGTTAGAGTCTTGCTGTTAATTCAGGGTGCTGGTGATCCATCTTAAGAGGCTGCTAAGGAAAGGCTTTTATACACTTTGACATCTTGTTTAGAACAGAACTTTTGCCTTATTGCAGCAGTCATAAAAGTTTTAAAATGACTTTTATCAATAAAACGTATTTATTCTATGTCTTTTCACCTAATGAATCTTCATCCCATTCATTCCTGGTCCCTTCACATCTGCCCTCCACCCCTGCCCTCTTCCCCTGGGGGGGGGGAGGTAAACACAATTCAAGATTTAAAATGAAGAAAATAAAATGAGAATAATTTTAAAAAGGGAGAGAAGGAATTAAAAATCTCGTCCTGCCACCCAAGTCACACCATACTCCTTGGTCCACACATCTCTACTTGCAAGTGTTCATTGCAAAGAATCATTGGTCTGCTTAGAGGCCCCTGGTCTCCACTACAAGGTCATTGTTGGGCCCTCACTAGGGCTCTTCCTGGACATCCTGCTGTGGCCTTTGTTGTGGAGACCCTGCAGCTTTAGGTCTGCAGGTCAGATCTCTTCACGTGCTCCAGCAGATCATAGATGGGGTGGTTGTTGGGGCGGGCCAAGTCATAACCCAGGATCTGGTCCTGGACAGCTACAGGGTTGGTCCACCCGATGGGAAATGGGGCAGCTCTCCCATGCTCACAGCTTTGTGGCTGGTTCACCCATGTCCGAGCTAACAGGGTTGGATCTGTTGTGCTGCCCTTCTAAGGTGCCGGGCCTGCTCTCCTGAGTGTTGCAGTTAGTTCTCCCTAGCGTTGCAGTTGGTAGGTCAAAATGGCTTCTATGCTGCATGTGAAGAAAACTGTGGAACTTAAGTCAATATAGTTTTAATTAAAGAATTATAAAAGTACTAAACTTTTTAGTCCTTAGTATTTATTGAAACATAACGACTCCCTTTTATTTCCTTTCTCCTCAGAGTTTCATGTCAGTTGGTGTTTTGAATCGTCATAGAGAACACTGAGCTCTGAAGAAGATGCTGGAGACCATAGGTAAGACATCCTCTTTCCACCCTGCTTTTGTCAGACTCGAACATGCTTCCACTGCTCTTTTAGTACGCGGTGTTCTGCATAGCTATAGGAACCTGGTTTTCAATTTTTTTATCCAGTAGCATTGAACATGTAATGGAGTTCTGTATTTGTGAGAATATATTTACGTGTTTATAGAGAACAAATCATAATCAAAAGTGAACATATGAGGTAGTCTATAAATTATGAGTTTTGTAAGCGTAATAGCTCTGTTTTGTTTTATGAGCACAGTCATGGCTTTTGGGTACCGCTAGAAAGCTTAACAGCAAGTTAGCACTGCAGCCAGCCCTCGCTTGTTAGTGCAGGGAAGGTGCTGCCCAGGGCTTGGTTCTGCCCGCCAGGACCCCAGTCTTCTCCCCATTCCATCTGCAATAGTTTGGCTCTACATGAGAGGTTCAGCTGCAAGGGCCGCGTCTCCTTTGCTTGTGTGTTACTTTCTTTCCCACACGGCAGGGTAGTTTCCAGAACAGAGAAAGCTGGGTCAGGCGTGGCGCACACTGCAGAGTCTGCCGTGTCAGCACTGTCGCTTCTCCACTTTGCTCTTGGGAGACTGGGTGCTGAAGGGTGCCCACAGGTCTCTCTGGCACTAGGATAATGGTCTCCACAGCTGCCAGTTTTGAGGGACTGGGGCAATAAAGGGAAAAAGAGCTGTCTGTGACATTGGACTTTTGATTCTGTTCCTACTCTGATCATAAAATTCAGTGTGGATGCATTTTCCATGCTTCGTTCCGCATTGAAATCATAGGCCATAAAAACTGTTGGAACACAGAGGCAAGTTCTTGATAATACAAGAGAAGGAAAGGGATAGTATGGCTTCCATTAAACTGCTGCTTTCTAGATTCATTCTGTCAGCAGTTACTAGATATTAAGTAGCACACATTTTCACAATTGATGTAAACATTAGTAATAGGTTGGTGTTCTCAGTTACTGTGGAACATGGGACACAGAACCAACAATTTTCATGTGTATCGTTATCTTTCTTTGCTTAGAATTTCTGCAGGAACAGTGTTGTTTATTCCATCTTGTTTGTGTATATGTACTCATTATCGATAGGGTTTTGTATTTAATTGCCCAGGATCTGTGGAATACCAGGTGTGGTGCTATAAGCGCTGCCTCTGACGATCCCTCTTTTCTGATCACTGTGATTGGCAATAGGTGTACATGCTGCTGTCATGACTGGGTTAGGACATACTTGAACAGTCTCCATTTGAGAAAACAAATTTGTCTTAAACGAACCTATGTTTGTATCATTCAGGATTATGTTGAAAATCATTGGTGGAAGTGTGTATGTAAGTTGCTTGACCTATTAGGGCATACTGAAAATGCTCACTTCCATAGCATATCTGATCCACAATGTATTTTATAGTGATTTGAATTATATTGGTTGGAAGTGTTTGTAAATATGCTATTTAATTTTAGGGTATTGCATTCTAAGGGTTGAGACAGCAATTTTGAAAAATCTATTATTGATTATTACCAAGTTATCAGGCACAGAATACTTTAAAATCTAATATATGAAATGATTGTATTTTGGAGGTGATTCATCAGTGGCATCCCCTTCCACTTAATGGGTTAATTATTCACTATATATATAATTTCATGTGTCTTTTTAAAGAAGAAGTGATTCGATTTTTAAGGCCATGCAAGACTTTATGCGATTTTCACAAGAGCTGAAACATCTGGCACTGAGTTCAGTTACACATCATTTGTGTCAGTGTCTGTGACTTTTACAACTGTTTGCCTAAGTGTGCATTACACCTTGTTCCTGCTCTTAGATGAATTTCATTATAACAGACTTAAAGATTTACAGTGAGAGGTTGTACTCTACCTTTAGACACTAAATCTAATGAAGCAGCTCGGTTGTTTTGAAACATACGTAAATATGCGATTTAATGTTGAGGAAAATATTTAAACATTAAAAGAGCGTACTGATTTTAAAACACATGCTTTTGTATAGCTTTGCACTCAGTTCAACTATTGAAAAGGCTGTGCACTTAAGGAGAACTGTTTTAGGATTTCTAGAGGTGCAGCGTCTTCATAGATTTGGCAAGCCTTTTCGATCTGGTTATTGACTGACGCTTCTCCCTGGATAGACAAAACCAGAGCCCTGCAGGCAGCAGAGCGCTTGCAGAACAAGCTAAAGGAGCGTGGGGATGCCGCCAATGAAGACAAACTGAGCCTCCTGAGGTCTGTCCTGCAGAGCCCTCTCTTCAGTCAGATTCTAAACCTTCAGACGTCTCTACAGCAGCTGAAAGACCAGGTAGAATGTCTCCACCCAAGGTGGCCCTCATGGCGTCCTAAAGATCTTGTGGGAAAAAAAAGGCATGTGCTTTTCCAAAGGCTGGCTTTTGTGTGCATTTAATAAATAATGGAGTCATTTAAACCACTGACAGACATTGAGCCTCACTGTGGCTTTTCCCTTCTAGTTATTTTTGTACCCGCTGTTGCCGATGATGTGACATTCTGTTGAGAGCTCGTGTGGATGCTTAGACGCGAGCTCCCACAGGAGGAAGGCTGGTGAAAATGTCGGGGCCGGGTGGCTGCAGACTTGGTTTTTATCATCACCAAGCCCTGTTGTTCATGTGATCTTGCTCATTCACATTCAGACATCCAGTACAGCTACAGGATTTCAGAGTAGCATGCATTTGTATGTTTAATCATGTGTGTGAGGAAGGGAAGTCACCTCTGTTTTGACAGTAGAAGGATAATTACATTGTCATCAGCTAAAGGAACTGCAATTCTCACTTCTTAAGAGCGTGCAAGTAGCACTTGCTTCCATGACAGCATCAGATGGTGATAAACATTAGGATTTCTAAATGTAACACCATGTTTTATTCCCTGTAAAAATTATGAGCATTAAAAAGTTTGAACATTTATATTAAAACTGAAAGCATATCACATGACAGAATGAAAACCAAAGTCAGATGTTCTTTGAACTTACTTAATTTAATCAGTATTTCACAGGTTTTAAAAATATTTTTAAAACTGTTCTTATCCTCTTAGGGCTTGAAGTCAGTTTAATTATGTTGTCATGTTTTAAGTATTAATTTAATGGTTATGGATGACTTGCTAGCAAACATTCTGCCTTAAAAGGATAAAAATGAAACTTGAAAACTAGCTTCATAATTCAGTGAAGGAACAATTCTAAGGGGATGGATGTCCCAGATACCAACAGATGGACAGTAGCGGAGCAGGCTCAGTGCCTCCAACCTCACCCAGATTCTGCTATACTCCTGGAACTCCCCAGAAATGAAAAGAATCTTCGGAAATATTTTCTGTTGGGCCAAGGAGATAGCTCAGTCAACAGAGTGCCCCCATCCCCAGAACCCTCTATTAACAAGCAAAAATGAAAACAACAACAGACAAGCTGGGCGTTGCAGTGCCGAGGACAGAGAAACAGGATCCTACATGCCCATACACCTGCACGTGGTAATATGTAGACACACATACGCCCTGACAAACTATTTTCTCATGTAAATGTCAGCCTAATTATTATAAACTTCATGGCTGTAAATCTAAAAGGGAGTTTTGTTGTATGTATGTGTTTCTCCTCTTGATTACTTATTGGAAATAATGTTTTTCAATATTGATGGATTAGCAAACTTTTGAAGAAATTAGTATCTAGAATATAAGCATGTACATGGTGTGGGAAATTATCTGGGTTTACTTTTTTCTTTTCCAGAGTGTAAGGACATTGAACAGAGGTCTTCTTAGTGTAATGTGTGAACACATAGTTGTAACGAGGGAAAAGTTAACTCATATACCGAGGATTAAAATGTACAGGTAGTCAAGCGAAGTAGTTGGATCTTTGTGTAATAGCCAGCCCTCTGCAGGGCAGAGGGTTGTGTCCTCTGTGTCTGGTGGAAGGACACAAGTTGCCTACAGGTTGCATTTGTTCTGCTGTTTCTAAGTGGAAATAAGATGTAGCTCTAAGGCTGTGATGACCTTGGTGATTCACATGAAGCCTTCTGGGAAACCTATTGAGTGCTGTAGCGAGTTTCACCTTTCTATGACCAAGTATATATATATAGCCTGCTGTGTTTTTTCTTACTTATATAGGAAAGTCTGATACTCTAGAAGATACTGAGACAGAAATTGTTCCACGAGGATGTAAGATTTATATAACTCTATAAAGACAGATTGACAGATGGCAGTGTGGCCAGAGTTCCCAGAAGAGTTTAGGCCCCAGCACCATAGATACACGATGGGGACTCTGAATAGAGGAAAACAGCATACACATGGGTCTTCTTACACATTTATGAGGGTGTTTCCTAGTACAAGTCTGCAGTTAGCCTGTTGGATTCCGAGGCAGGAGACAACGTAGCCAATAGGAGCAGGATGCCCAACAATACCTCCTTTGGTATAAACCTACTTCTTAGGTGGGACTCAGATAGTGTCTCAGTAGGTTGGCATCTGTGAAAGGCGGGAGCTGTGAATATTGTGTCCTGGGCTCTACATTACATTCTTACAGTACATATGTCAAGATTAAGTTGTGGGGCCTTTGGATTCTGCTGACATGTCTTAGATGTGTTTGAACGTTTCTTTCCTTGGCCATTTGTCATATAGAAGTAGAAAAGGGGGGAAATGTGTAGTTGTGCCATTGTTGACACAAAGGCCCAGGAAGGGAAGTGATTCATTCATACGAAGTTGGTTTCCACGGCCTTTGCTGTCCGCGGCCTGTTTTAGACATTTTTGTTTCTTGTTTCTTACAAGGATAGACTTGATGATTGCGCATTTCTCCAAGGTTAGTGATTTTCCCAGGACTTTGAGATTTTTGATTTGCGTATGTATTCTGTAAAGTTTCTCCAGTCTAGCATAGGTGTATGCCTTTCTTTACCAGTTCCTCTTTTTTTTTTTGTTTATTGGGATTTTTTCGTGTTTTATTGTGTCTTTTATTTTAGAGATTATGTTATAATTATTTCCCCCATTCCCTTTCCTCCCTCCAAACCATGCCCGAGACCCTTCTTTGATCTCTTTCAAGTCCATGGTTTCCTTTTTCAATAATTGTTGTTACATGTATATATGCATATATATCAAATATAACTTAGTCTATATAGTGTTAGTGTATGCATGTTTTTAGGGCTAAGCATTATATTAGATAACCGATTGGTGCACCTGGAGAAGACTGTTTCTCCCATTCTCCACAATTCTTCAGTTGTCTTTACTTCTTTGTGTATGGTTGAAGCCTTGTAGTCTTTCCCAGATTATGAGCAATTGTTAACAATGTCCTTTACTTGCATGCCTTTCCTTACAGGCTCACCCTCCATCTTATTGAGGATGCCAATACTGTTCTTTTATTTCATTTTTTTTTATTAAAATTTTTATTTTTAAATTTAAATTCAAATTATAAACAAGGTCTCTTCACATGTCAATCTCATGTCCCTCTCCCTTTCCCTCCCCTCCTCCCACGCCCTCCCACCACCCACCCAGTAACCCCTCCTTTCCCCAGGGAGGGTGAGTTCTTCCATTGGGGTGTCCATATTCTGTCATTTCATCCAGGGCAGGGCCTAGACCCTCCCCCAAGAGTCCAGGGTGAGAGTGCATCTCTCATTGTGGGATGGGCACCCAATGAGGCCTAAGCAATCTATGGGGCCTTTGGTAGTTGACCAGTATTTATTCCTGGCATACAAGTGGACAGTTCTTCTTTTTTAAAAAATAAATTTTATTTAAATTAGAAACAGTCTTATTTTACATATCAATCCCAGTTCCCTCTCCCTCCCATCCTCCCATGCCTCCCACCGACCTTCCCATCCCATCTTCCATGTACTCCCCAGGGAGGGAGGAGCCTCCCATGGGGGTTCATCAAAGTCTGCCACATCATTTGGGGCAGAGCCTAGCCCCCGCCCTGTGTATCTAGGCTGAGAGAGTGTCCCTCCATGGGAATGGGCTCCCAAAGTCCGATCATGCTTTAGGGACACATCCTGGTTCTACTGCCAGAGAGAGGCCCCATAGACTTCCCAGGCCACCAACTGACACCCACGTTCAGGGGGCCTCGTTTGGTCCTATGCTGGTTCCCCAGTTGTCAGACTGGGGTCCGTGAGTTCCCACTTGCTCAGGTCAGCCATTTCTGTGGGTTTCTGCCTCTCTGCAGCTCGGTTCCAGGAGTTCAGCTCAGTGTTTAGCTGTGGGTGTCTGCTTCTTCACCAGTTCCTTTCACTCAGAAGATTTTTTTCATTTTTTTATATGAACCCTAGTATCATTTCAACAATTATATTATTTTCTGTTTTAAATTTTAATTATAAATTTCTAGACTATCATGTTAGATTTAAAAATGTTTATTTGTGGATGTTTACAGTTTAACAGTTAATATGAGGAATAAGATTTTCTCATGCTTTTAACCCAGTGACCATACGAATTACCTATTGCTAGTTATAATTTGTTGCCCTATACCTATATTAAGTTTTCAACGTACAATTTAATGTGCACAGCAGGTGGAAATTAATCTCTCCCATCTCTTCTTTTACTATAGCCAGCCTCCCCATGCCCCATACCACTCTCTGTCTTTTAGAAAGCAGAGGAAGCGAGGCACTGAAAAGCCGAGGTGTGTATCACACACTGAAGAGCACGATCATATTGTTGCATTAATGACAGTTGCTGACATGCCGTGTTGAATTAAACCTGCAATTTTTCCCCCTCCAATCCTTCTCATTACTTCCATTCAATGATGTTTAATTTTTCCAATTTGCTTCTACAGTACTAAGATTGCCCTTAGAAATCAAACTGTTTCCCTTTGGCAAATTAAACACTTGACAGGTGTGTAACTGAGAGGGCAGAAAAGCCGTGCCCTGAAGGGATGTGCTATTTAAATATTGTCAAAAATATTAGCAGGTCTGAGAGTATAATTGATGCCTCTGTTTAACTCCGCCACATTGTGTATTGTTCTAACGCCAGCTAAAAGGATGTATGCTATTAAACCTGAATAATCTCTAATCGCTCCAGCTCATTTCCTATTGCATGATTCCTGTTTAAGTGAAAAGGAACTGTGACTGTGTGTCAATGATCTGTCAAATGCAGGTTCTCAAGTAGTGTCCTCACTGTCACCTAGTCATCACAGCTATTAACTACAGGGTTTAATGCGTATTCATGAAAAAAATCTAGCTATTGTAGGAGAAATAAACACGTTAGCAGTTTAATAATAGAAAGTTGTCAGCCTTGAGGATGTCAGATTTGCATATTTATTCAGTAAAGCTACTCCCGTCCAGTATAGATGTGGATTCTGCTTTCCTGATTAATTGCCTTACTTTATGAATGACCATGGGC